GCAGTCTTATAATTAAAGTTTGGCAAAGGTTTCTTTCTATGCATGCACATGAATTAAGTTGCCATGCATTAGCTGAATTCTGAAGTTTTATTGGCCTGTAAAAAAGCTTCATCAAGTATTTCTCAGAACATGGTAGGCACAGAAAATTTGAAGAATCAACTATGCCATGCATTAGCATAAAGTACAAAGTGTTTTTTGATATTTTCTCTTATATTTTATTACCAATTCTCCTTGTGAATGCATGATATAGTCAAATTTTTCTCATGGTGCTTTTTGATACTTTTATAAACTTGTAGGACTAACTGATTCAACAAAAAATTTAAGTAATTCAATGTAATGATGAAATACAAGAAGGTTTGTGATATTAGGCTTAAATCTTTGTTGGAACAATTGTGACTTTTTATTGGATAGGTGGGCTGCATTACAAGACTGGTGCCACAGAAAGGAGTACATCTAATTAGACATGCAATATATCGAACATTGGAGTTAGAAGGACAGTTTGTTTTACTCGGTTCAAGCCCAATCTCTCATATTCAGGTAATTATCCACTTTTCTTTTATCTGATACTTGGGCTTCATAAAAAGAAGTGGAAGAAAAGAATACAAAAGTATCTACGCAATCAAGCACTTCTTTTCCTTCTTATCATTAGTTATGAAAATATGATACTCTCTTTCAAATTGCTTCTTTGACTATCTGCTTTCCTGGCTAATTATGACCAGGACTTCAAAAAAATCCTGAGAGCATCTGATTTAGCAAAGAGGAATAGATTTTAGAACAGTAGAAAGAAACAAAAATATAACTCAATCCAAAATAACGGAGATTAACAACAATCACAATCATAGGAATTTCACAACCACAACCACAGGTTCTTAGGCATTTAGTCAATTAGAGTATTGATAATTTTTATTTATTAGTACTCTGTGAAATAATGATGGCACCCGTAAATTCTTAAGACATGTAAGTAGCATAACATGATAAATCTTTTAGTAGAAAACAAGAGAGCAAATATCTAATTTAATCCTGGACCATGACGAATGTTATATTTAAGTCTGAAATATTTTTTCGAATGAATTTGTTCAAAAGGTTAATACCCTTAGGAAAAAGGATGGAAAGATAGAATTTGGTGAGGCCCTATCTGAAAAAAAACAGCTTTAACTTTGTACTCCTCATGGCTCTCTCTCTCTCTCTCTCTTTCTGTCTTCAACAACAACAGCTTTGAAATAAAAAAGAAAAGAAAGTGATCAAAGGTCTTCATGTGGTTCTGTAGAATGGGTGGGATGTAGTGGCTAAGAGATCCACCCAACACGAAAGCCCATGGAAGGCCATCTCTAGCTTTATCTCAAAACAAAAAGGCTATCTCTAGCTTGTTACACCTATATACTCCATTTACGAGATTCTATGTGGGGGATGGCTACAAGGTTCTATTCTGGGAGGACCATTGGAGGGATGATAACCCCTTGATCACTCAACTTCCACATTTATTTCACCTATCCTCACGACATAAAGCCCCAGTTGACCAGTTCTTCAGCCTTATTGACGGTAATATAAATTGGAACAACTACTTTTCATGATTCAAATGATAGAGAAACGGAAAAGTTTTTAACCATTCTGAGCTTATTAGCCTTTTCACCGTCCCAACAACCTAATTGCAGAAAAATGGACCTCAGAATCTTCAAGTACATACACTTGTGAGTCCTTCTTTGACCATATACGACGATATATATATATATATATATATATTTAAATTAAACAAAAAGGGATATATTGTTTTATCTTATTGCTACCATAGTCCATTGACGAAGGTATTTTGGCAAGTCAAAGTTCTTCTAAGATAAAGGTGTTTGCGTGAACCACAGTTCTTAATCGATTAAACACCAACAATCTATTGAAAATTTGTAGGCCTAATTGAGCTTTCTCTCTGGATATTTGTGTGATGTTTCATAGAGGAGGGGAGACACACAACCATCTTTCTCTCCAATGTGAGGCAGCGTGGAAGTTATGGATAAAGTAGTTTGATAAATTTAACCAACCTTAGATAGCAAACTAGTTTGACAAATTTAACGACCTTGGATAACGTCTCCATTGGAATGCTTCATCAAATTCCATATTGATGGTATAGGGGTGAGGAAAAAAGCTAGAACCACACGGCAAGGAGCTCCATTTACAGGTGCATGGACAATTTGGCTGGTAAAAAACGATTGTATAGTTGACAACCAATCATTCTCCGACAAGATACTATGGGTGAAAACAACTTTTCTGGCTTCTTTTTGGGTCAAGGCACAAGGGAAGTTCTCTGACATTTCCCTAACTGGCCTCCACTGGAATTGGGAGGCAATAACCACGTGATCATATCTATCATTCAATTATGTCTTTTTTGATGCATATCTACTCTGTTTTGTTTTGTTTCTTGTAATCCCTTCAGATGGATATCTTATCCACTGTTTTTTTTTGTTCCCTTTTATTTCTTAATAATATTTCTTTTTCTATCTAAAGAAAAAATTGGTAAGGATAGTATAGGAAATTTCTTTTTAAATCCTTGAAGCTCTTTTCTTTCCCCCTTATTTTGATCAAACTTGGAGGATGTGGAAAATTGAGTTTTTAAAGAAAAAATCCCATCCTTCCATTATCACTACTAATTATTATAGTGAAAGGAAGTGCACACCATACCCTTTTCTTTTCTTTTCTTTCCTTTCCTTTCCCTTCACATCTTTCAAGCCAAACGTAGTGTAAGGGAGGCAATAGAAAACCAAGTTAGAGTTTGTTTAATATTTCACAGCCATTTGCTATATTCTGTGTTTATAGCAATAAAACATGGAAATAAATATTTGATATTTATTAAGGTAATTTTTTTTTTATCATATACAATTGTTGGTCCAGGGGCATAGTTTGAGATGTTAATGCTCTCTTTTTTTGTTAGTCTTTCGTTTGTTTCTTTCTATAATTCAAATGCCAGCTTCAGTGTTTGACAAGGAACTATTGAGAGGTTTTTATTCATTTATTTGCTTGCTTGTTTTTACAGAGAGAGTTTGAGGGTATCGCAGACCATTTTCAAAAACATGAACACATTCGGCTGATACTGAAATATGATGAGTCTCTATCCCATTCCATTTATGCTGCATCTGATATGTTCATCATTCCTTCTGTTTTTGAGCCTTGTGGGCTTACACAGGTACAATTAGGATGATAACTTTTTCCTGAGAAATCTTCTTGAACAACAAACTTCTAGAGTATGTTATTAAATTAAAGCTAATAGGACAAGCAAATATCATATTTGCTAGTTTTAGCTTAAATTCAAATTCTTCTTTTTTCCATTTTTAGTAGTTTCTTTTCTGCTGGCTTACTGCAGATGATAGCAATGAGGTATGGTTCTGTACCCATCGCAAGAAAAACAGGAGGTCTAAATGACAGGTGAACTAAATGTGCCAGATCTAACTAAGATATTTTCACATGAATGTGAAGTTATTCCACTCAGAGTAGAACCATAACCAAGCTTTTCTTCATATATAGTGTATTTGACGTTGATGACGATACAATACCGCTTCAATTTCGAAATGGATTTACATTTTTGACTCCTGATGAACAGGTAAGAAAACAAATTGTAAATGAACTATTTGTTATATATGGTTTTGGAATCCGTCTCTTAGCAGTGTCCGCTTCCACCCAAAGCGTGATGTCATCTTTCCAGCTCTAGTAATACACTGCTTTTTGTTTTTGGCTCTAGTATTAAGTTTTGAAAAGCTCTAGCACTATATTTAGTTCGGTTGTATGTATGTTGATGTTGCGAAAATATAACAGGGATTGAACAGTGCCTTAGAACGAGCATTTAGCCTCTACAGTAGTAAGCCAGATAGTTGGCAAGAACTTGTAAAGAAGGATATGGAGATAGACTTTAGTTGGGCTACATCTGCATCACAATATGAGGAGCTCTATGCAAAGTCAGTGGCCCGAGCAAGGGCTGCAGCAAATCGGACTTAACAATCTTGGTTTGGCAGAAACAGGTGGTTTCCGTGCTGGCCTGTGATCATATATAAGTTGGTCCTTCTGTGAATAGCTAGCTAACGAGGAGCGAATTGCTCAACCTGTTGGTATCGGCGAGCATCAGGATAATCTCAACATCATTAGTCCTGTAGCTAAAATCTTTGAGTTGTGAATTTGATGAAGGACTGAAGCTGCATTTGTGAAGGTGACATTCCTTACCACCATACCATCTGTTATTTTTCACTTTTAAAGCACATCATACATATTTGTAACAAATAGCTAATCATCATGTCACAGTATAGCTGTACTGTATTCTTTTAGTTTTTTTAAAACTCGGTTGCATGTATACGCGTGTAAACTGTAGTCTTATACGGATCAGTTAAACAAATATTGAATTCTAAGTGTAAATCTCGGAAATTTTTAACTAAATGAGATGACGTACACACATCTTCATAAAGATATTGAATTATTTTTTGTAAATTTATATATATATATATGAGAATTATAATAATTTTAATGTTCTCATTAAATTTTACTATAACAATAAGTTTACTGTCTCTACAATTTATATTGATAAAAGATTGTGTTTGATAGGGCGGGTGAGGTAGGGTAAGATTTCTTATCTCTACCCTTTCTCAATTTTGGTAACCAAGATTTATGAATAGGATGGTATACTACCCACAAGTCTTACCTATCCCATTAAATGTGAATAAGCACAACCGAAATGACCATTTTATCCTTATTAATAAATAATTTTCAAAATCTAACCTTAATCTTGGTTCTAATTATAAAATTGCTATGGTCATATGCCATCGCCATTCAGTGCCAGAAAACATATCACTACAATTTTGGATATTAAGTTTTTGTTGGTATAGATGTTTTTTTTTTTTCTAATATTCAAAACTCTTTACTTTAAATATATATATATATATATATGATTTCTGGGCTCAGAGAGAGAGAGAGAGACTTAAGAAAAATTATCTAACTTCACTCTTAATCC